CATTGCCTTCACTCCCTGGCTGGCAGTACCCTGCTCTGATCGTTAGACACACATAACTCGGAGCCAGTTTTGGCCCATGTGGGTTTATGCTATGAGACTCAACTCAGCTGTACAAAGGAAATATTTTATCATCATATTACACTGATTTGAGAAAAAGGAAAAGATGAAAAGGGATTACAAAACAAGTTGAAATTTAGGTAATCAGATACTTATAGTTTATTTAAAAGGCACTCCTTCAACATGTGCTCCAACTTCCTAAATCTGAAGCACTCTAAATGCAATTCATTTTCCATTCGGATTTCTATGATGTTCAAACTGACCACACTCCACCCCACACCCTAGACAAAAGGCGTGCGGACGAGCACCAGGGCCGTACTCAGTGTGGAGCCATTCCACTTGGAAACTGCGGACAAAATTTGGTAAATGAAACCTCTGTAGATGAGCACTGCCTTTTTATTCATTGAGTAGAACTTACCCTTTTTATTTCTGTCGAAGGAAACTGCTCCTCTCTGAACTAGGACAGTTACAGAAACTAAAGTCGTACTTTTTTAAAGTGCCTGTAATTATTGGATACCCACTGTGAACTCGTTTAGGCTAACATCTCACTTCACTTTTGACAAATCTTCTGAGTCAGAAACACTGAGGTGCAGAGGCCAAATGGTTTGCCCTAGAGCAGACAGTTGGTTAAGTGACAAGCTCAAATCCAAGGGCTCTTTGAGCTGAAGCCACCAACTCCTTTCTTTGTCACCATTCCGAAGGGTATTTGTTTCCATTAGTTTCTATAACTGACGTAAATTCTGAAATGTACTGCTAGCCTCATGAAAAATGGAGGTAGATCATTCAAGAAAAGTTAGACCCAATGAATATAATAACTTCATTGTAGTAGCTTTGCCTGGTTTGATGACTGCATGCACTCATTCTAAATTTCTCTTTTTACAACTAAGCCCTTCAATGATTTAAATGTTTTGAAGCATTCTAAGTAATTTCTCTTGAAGTTATAATACTTTTCAAAAGGAACTTCATGTATTGTGTAAAACATATGGACTTGTTCCTTAAGACTTCTAAGGACTTCTATGTAAACCAAATTCATTCACCTTTTGCTTACGCTTCTCCGTCTTAATATGACACATTTAAAGAGTCAAAGCCAGGTTGTCAGTATGGCTTTTTTTGCAGTTTTTCATCTTTTCAGATTTAAATTGCAAATATATGTTTTTGTACTCCATGCCTTCTCATTTCCTAATATTTTCACTTACTTTCGAGCTGTCCACATATCCCTGCCATCAAGTTTGACTTGCATTGCCCATGAACATAGTTCAATAGTGACTCTCCTGTGGGAATGCCAACACAGCATGAGCGAGAGCTCACTTTAATGATCTTTCTAGAGGAGAAAACAAAATGTAAAGGAGTCAGTGGGACTTAAAAAACACTACCAAGCAAAGCCATAAGCACTATCAAGCTTATAGTGATGTAAGAAACTTGGACCCTCACTAAATCTAAGCTAGAATTAACCAAATGAAGCTATGCATAAGATCCAAATAACCACAATCTTTTCCCACCTCCATTCTAGGTCTTGTGAACATTACTCAGTTACTTCCCACATTATTCAGCCAGGCTACTAAATCTGGGCTCTTACGTCATTTCCTATAACTAAATAATCGGGAGAACCTCTAGCCAGTAGAGGCTTGTTCTGGGTCCTTGTGTTGCCAGATACAGAAGTCAACATTAGTCATCTAAAGGATATTTATTGGCAGAGTATTGTGGTATCTCCCAAGCATAACAACGGCTTAGCTCAGACAGGATACAAAGAGGCTCTAAGCATATCAGCTGCATGACTTCCTAGACTTTCAGATTACTAGTCTATATTTAAGATGATGAAGATTCACAGACTTTCATGTTTGTTACTTCTTTGCCCAGGAGTTACATACGCAGGATATGATATCTCATTGTGCACCTCAAGACAAGTGACCCCCTTTGGTCCTGTTATCTTGTTCAGAGTCCCTATGCACACATGTAGCTACCAGGAGTCAAATTTTGGGTCTTGGGAGCTATGCCCTAAAGAAGAAAGCTTGCTATTCCCCAAAAGGCTTTCAAAAGTGTGTCTAATAAATGCATTCTTCCTGAGTTTAATTTTCAAAGACTAAATCAGTGAGCACAAAATGTGTTTAAATGTTAATCTCAATCAGTAGAAAACCTTGTTTTTCCCTGGTTTAATTCAAGAAATTTCAATAGAACATTCATAGTGTAGAAAACACTGTATTATAAAACACTGGTCTACCAAAAAGGAAAACAATGACCCCTACCCTCTAAATCAAATTTTTTAGTATTTGAAAGAAAGTCTTAGTCAATAGTTGCTTGTTCAATAAATTTTACCTAAATCAGTTACCTACCTCCAACTCCATCCCAGACACCGTTCCAGCTCTGGGCAATCTAGTACTGAATACAAGTAGCAAAAATCCCTATGATCACCAATACCCATTATGTAGAAGAAAAGCAACTAATGGTTAAGGAACTGGGCATGATTCTCACTCTGCCACTTGCTAAATGAGGGGCACATTTCAAAATTTCTCTGTTGTTTGGTTTTCTCACCTAAACAACATCATACCTTGCTCATAACATTTTCACCATCATCGTGGTCTTCATCATCAAGTGGCTCTTTGATCATATTTTCATGCTCTCTCACTCTAAGGTCCATACCTGCAATTACCCTTCTCGATCCAACTCTGCCAGGAAATTCTCTAGAGCCAAACTGATGAGGCTGAAGAGGGAAATTTTATGTACTTATCTGCTGGTTGTGTAAAGAACGATGCTGGGTGTTGGGCTCATGCTGATGCTGAGGTGCAAGGTGTTTATCGGATGGACAACGCAGGACGAGGTAGTGGGCTAAAATGAGCTGCAACCTGAGCCTGCAAAACATTCTGTTGATCCTCAGGATGCTCAGAAGCCAGAATTGTCCTTGAGAATGCCCTTTGGTGGGGAGGAACGGCTTAGTCTTCTTTTGTAGTTCCTTACTCTCATTTCCTGGGATACCCAGAAGATCTGACCTGGATGCCTCTGTGCCTACAAACTAAAGTACACATAAGAAAAAAAATAAATAAAATAAGACTACAAGTCCTAGAAAGCTCCACAGTGCAGGGAGGGGAGGCAACAGAGAGACTGTTTTCAGCCAAAGGGCTATCAAATGTTCTGAAAGCTCGTGTGGTAGAAAAATTATTCCTCACTGAGACAAGAAACACAATGATAATATTTAACTCTCTTATGGCTAAGACAGCGTTAAAAGATGGACTGAACAATAAATGAAAAAGCTCTCACACAAGCAATATATTAGAAGCTCTCATTTCATTGAATTTTATCTCTTTGATTAAATTGGCATGGGAATAGCTGTCAGTTTAGACCCATGTAACTGCAAACGGGAGCCAAGGATGAGGGTGATCTGGACACTGTCACCCACAGGGAAGTTGATGGGCTGAGAGGACGAGAACAAGCATGTAGGAAACTTTTTAACAGTTGGACATAGTAATTTTCTCTCTTTCGGTGCTAATGATAAAATATTGGAACTGTTCTTTTTGTATATATGATTTTTCTACTTCATTTTTTTCTGGTAATACATTATTGTATCTTACAGAAGTGATAGCAATGGATTATATTTTTTTCTAAAACTAGACATTTTCTTCCACCATAAAGTCATTGAAAAAACACTGGTCAAAAGCAAATATGTCTTATTTTATTAAGTTTTTTATCTTTGAAGAAGCATCTCTGCAAAGCTGAATCTGTCATGCTTGTGACATAATTTAGAAATAAGAATGCATCTCATTTACACAATCAATGCACTCCCATAAATTGCCTACATAAAGAATTATTTTATGAGTCCATGTATCTATTAACTACTATTTATATAGTTATTTATTATAGTTTAGGAGATGTTTGCTTATAAAGGGCATCAGCAAAATGAATTAAAGCCAAATAAGAAAGCAAAAATAATTCTTAACATTAATAGAGAAATAATTTTCTGATAAAATATGAATAATTTCCAAAATAAATGGCCAAGCATTAAAATGGAAAAATAATAATTTTTAAAAGTGGTTTCAACAGAACTCTCAAGCTGTAAAGGAAAAGCAGTGAAAAAGTAGGAGACCACAGCACACCGAGGTGGGAAGCTGCATTTCCCACAGAGTGCACACAAAGATATTTTGCAAAAGACCATTCTGCCACTGAGACCCTTCCCCTTCAGTCTTGAGAAACTCTTAATAATCAAAGTTATTATTACTTATTTTAATGTGGGCTAAAGGAAGGGAAGAACTCAAGCATCACAGAGATGCTCAATTAAATCCAACACTCAGACAGCATTAAATAAGACAGTATGAGTACACGAGTAGTGAAATGTTCACATTTTTTAAAGAACCTATTTCTGTTGGTTGCAAGATTAAAATTGCTGGCTTATTATTTCTTTCTTTCTTTCTTTTTTATTTTATTCATTTATTTTTACCTTTTGAGACAGAGTTTCACCATGTGCTTCAGGCTGGCCTTGAACTCGCTCTGTAGCCTAGGCTGGCCTCAAACTCACAGCAATCCTCCTGCCTCAGCCTCCTGAGTGCTGGGATTACAGTGCACCACCAGCCTGACTGACTTATTATTTCTTAAACAGGGATTTCATTAAAACAAGATTATTTTTAAATAACTACATATGGATGTGGACATTTTAAATAATCTTTAATGTAAGCAAATCAAGCTTTATGAAATGAGGATGCTATTTGTGCAGCAAAAAAAAATCTCTATCTGTTTAAAGGAACTGTCACTGTTGTGGTTGGTTGTTGTTCTTGTGGGTTTTGTTTTTTAGCAAACAGTTGCCTCAGAGTGAAGGGTTGAGTTTTGTTGTGTTCAAATCACCAAGAGATAGAAAGTGGGTGGAGTCACGAAAGGGCCTCATGAATCTCGGGTTTGCTGCGTTCTTCCACCAGCGTCAGGGGACGGCTCTCCCTCTCCAGAATGCTAGATCACCGCCGCACCTCTGTCCATTTTGTCGGAATTTCAGCCATGAAGACGGCTGAAAACGGATTAGAGACTCATGGCAGCCGTATGAGTTCTTTTTCACCAGCAAAACACTTTTCCCTGCAAGTTCCACCAAGCAGACTTGCGCTCACATCTAATTGGACCATTTTATAAACACTGCGGAAAGAGACTTTGGAAATACAAGGGTTTTTTTCTTCTTCTTCTTCTTCTTCTTCTTCTTTTAAAGGTGGCCACACTACATCAAAAAAATCAGAATACTGTTAAGAAAGGAAGGAGCAGAGATGCCCATTAGGGGATGAACTATGTCTGTATATGTGATTACTACTATCTCTCTTTAGAGACTGAGATTTCATGGGGTTAAATAATTAGTAACATCACATCCCCAATAGGTGAATGTCAGAGAAGGAGCCAGGAAGCAAAATTTAAGCATAGTTCTATTGTAAAGGGCCTAAGGAATTTAGGGAAAGTCTGTAGTCTCAGCTCATAAGAGAACGGAATATACATATCTTCAGTACTTATTTATCCAATGTATACATCTAACAAAATAAGCTGCCAATTGGCAAATGAACCTCATTTGTCTTGGCCCCTATTAGAATAACCATTATGTGAGGTGCAATGAGGAAACCACTCCCAAGAATCCTCTGGTCTCCCCGACTTTCCCATTAAGATGTCTTCCTCTAATTCCTTTACCTTTCCCCTCCTCTCCTTTCCCCCTCTCCTCTCTGCCTAAACACACATCTTCCTGGCTTCCCCATCCCCACCTCAAACACACCTTTTTCAAAATATCAGTTCTGGGAATTTTCCAGAGTAATTTCTCCTCACAGAGTCCAAGAGAAAATGAAGAGAAGATGCAAAAATGACCCTCTGTCCTAGCAGCAGGAAAGCATTGTGTTGCTAGGAAACCAGTGGTAGGTGCTAACCAGCCCTCACTAAATGAGGGCAGCTCCCGGCAGAATAATTCTTTTTGTGGAAGAACCTAGATCATGATTTCACTTCCCAACTCCAAATGGCTCTGTCCACACATATGCTTTTTTTGGCCAATAACAAGCAGCAGAAATGATTAAAAATACTTTTGGGAATGTGGAATTGCACCCGTATGGAAGAGAAAAGGAGTTGTGTAATGTAATATAGAGCTACAAAAGACTCTTTGTACAATATGTTTTATTCTTTGGACATTTAGGCAATTGTTGAGAGAGAGATAGACAGACACAGAGAAACAGAGACAGACAGACAGACTCAAAGAGACCCAAAGAGAGATCAAGAGAGAGAAAGAAAATGGACTCTATTTTTCATAGAAACAAACTAGAAAAATATTTAAATAGATTTGGGTTAAATAGATGATGGAAAAAAGCTGGCTGGAAGACTTTACATTTCAACAGAGATAGATAAGTAGCAGTAGTTAAATATGACATCATCTATATAAAACATCTTCATCATTTACAAGGTATGTGTGAAAAACTGACTTTCTTATAGTGCTTTTGCACAGCCACGAAGGGTATTTATGCATGTCTGGCAGGCAAGTAGCAAGTACTAAAGCTAGAGGTCAAGAATTGTACCATCTAGAGTGAGGGTAAAGATAATGGAGAATCATAAGATGGTCTACTGTGGAGTGATTTGTTCATGCAACAAACAAAAATTTATGTGCTAATCTTGAACCAGGCTCTTTCTAAATCTTAGAATAAAAATAGCTGGTCCCCAAAGAATCTATACTTCTGTGGAAGAAATAATCAACAGACAAGATAAGAAAAATATATGTATTAATTAATACCAGTGCTGGCTGATATAAGGGGCACATCACCAGCGGGAAGTGGGTCTGCAGCATGAGTGTTGCAGGGTGGATGTTGAACTACAGTCTGATGAAAGTCAGGGGGCAGCTGAGGGATTCATGCGCACATGTCTGAGGGAAGAGTATTGCAGAAGAGTGAACAGCAGGTGGGAAGCCTGTGCAGAAGTGCACCTGCCAGACAAAGTGAACCAGGCAGTTAGGCTGGAGAAGTGGGAAGGAGAGGGAGAATGGTGGGCTTATAGTTTGCAAGTTCACAGGTAATGGGGCAAGGAGAGGATGTAAGAGAGGGTGATCTTGGAAGGCATGGCGGTTCAGAGCAAGGACTTCAGCTTTTCCTCTAAGATATGTGGTATGGCCAGCCGAGCTAGTACTCAAGGGTAAACAAGACCTCTTCTAAACAGCTGGGTTCCTGCCAGGTCCCCAGCCATGAACACTGGATCATGAGCAAAAGGGATGTGTGTCACTTCCAAGTCAAGGCAGTAAAGAAACACTGTGCCTCATCCATGTCATTCTGCCATGATTTTCAAGTTCAAATAACCCAAATGGAAAAGGGTAAGAACTATCTCACCTACCTCAGACTTCACCTTGATAAGGTTCCATGGTTTTAAATGTGTACAGAAAAAAAAAAAGAACAAGTGACTATGGTGCTTAGTAGAAAAGAACACAGATTCTAGAAATAATTTCAAGGTCAATTTATGCTGATAAACTTCACTAAGGAAAAGCACATAAATGCTATGCAGAAGAATACTTGGGCAAACCCTTTGCAAAATGGGGTACATGTAGCAATGGGAGCAGAAAATGGGGTTTCTTCCTGTGAATGAAGATTGGTCTAAACAGAAGTGATGCAAAGGTATCTATGGGAGACAAGTGCTGGGAGGTTGGCATGTAAAAAGCAGCAGTGACTGGTGGGGAGAATAAGCATTTATAAAGATGATGCAATCCCATGCACACAGGCATCTTGAATATGCATGTGCTGGCTACACAGGTGTATGTCAGGAAGGACCAGCAGCTTCCCTTCTAGGGCGACCCTTGAAGGGGGACAGGTGGTGTCTTCACTCTAACTTGGTTCTATCTGTATATGTATATGTCACTCTTTCTCTTCTCTTGAGGGACCCACATGGTGGTTAGATTAAATAACATGCATATGAATTGTACATTTGCAATTGTTTGTTTTCAGAATAATCTAACTGCTGCAACATATGACTTTATTATTTTAGAGGCTGAACATGATAAATGGTTTCCTTCTTCATCACTTGACAGTCTAAGTGGATAGTTGGTGAGGGCCTTCTCACAAAATAGTAGTAGTGGTAGCTGTGATACTTAACGCCAGTATTTATAGGACCTCAGAGTTTTCTAAGAAGACCTTCTTGTGTCTAGTCAAGGAACCAAGAGAGTGAGTGTGGAACATTTTGTAGGATATTTTAAGCCATTAGGCCTGGAATGGGCATTCATTGCTTCCCTCCATCACCCATTGCCTTAAACTTAGTCCATAGTCTCTTCTAACTTCAAGGGCAGTTTGGAGAAGCTGGCCAGCCAAATGCACAAAGAAGGAGAGTGAGCTGGCTGGTTAACCAGTCTGTACTGTATGAAAATGTGCCTTAGTGTCTGTGGTTTTCTCCTGACCTTGGGTAACCTCAGTTATCAGAAATCGAGTCTATGCTTGTGACAAAACAGACCAGATAGAAGACTCAGTGAATTTCAGGTTATTTATTTCCATTCGCATGAAGCAGAAGACTAGTGTAATTTCTCTTCAGAATACGATCCTGGAACTGACCCAGAACTTTAATCAACTAGTTATTATTATAAGTAAACTAGTTATTATTATAAGTAAACAAAGTTATGGAATAGCCCTGACCAGGCATGGCTCTGAGCAATGTATATCTGCAGATGAGTAAGAAATAACCTTCCCTTCAATAAACTCATGGCTGAATGGAGAAAACAAACACAGGGAGGAACGTTACAGGTACCCAAGGAAGGTGTGAGTAGTACTTTTAATTGGCATGGCATAGTTGGGGACAGAAATCTGGAAAAATATCAGAAAATGGTGCATAAAGTGAAATTTAGAAAACAAGAAAGAATTCCCCAAGTAGAGAAGAAATAGGAAATAACTGATGACACAAGGAAAACACTCAAACCATCAGAGCTAGTCTTTAAGAGAGACAACTCCAAAAGCAGGTTATCATGAGATGCATGAGGACTTCAGTGTTGGACTAAGGAATTTAGATACTGTTCCATAAGCCAAGAGGAGCCTTGAAGGAATAAGCAGGATTATCAAGGGTTGATTCATACCTTAGAAAGATGCATAGGAGGGAGAGGAGATAGTCCTCCTACGCTTTCTACTTGGAAACATAAAATCAGTACTCCCTGAATACTTTGAAAGGAGGGAGGAAAAGAGAGAGTAAAACTTAACACATTTACCTTTGAACCCCTCATCCTTGGCATCGTGCCTAGAACATAGCAAATGTTGCTTCTGTTGTTTCTGCCCAAGGGAAGTGGTTTCAGAAGACTGAGGAGGTTTTTAGATATAAAACAAATTTCTTTCTCAAAAGCCCTCTAATCCTGGAAATTTGTTTAATGAGGATTAAACCTTTTCATTATAATAGGCTTTGCTGTTGAGGCTGTGGGGAAATGGGCAGTCCCATACATTCCCAGTGGGAGAGTAAATGGGGACCAGTCCAGTGGAGAAGGATTTGGTAATATCTATTCAAACTGCAAATGCATTTGCCCTTAAGCTCATTGGTTCCATTTCTGGGAAAACTCCCTACAGATGCATTTGCACATGTTCAAAATGATTTATGAAAGCATTCTTCATTTTATCCTTGTTTTTAACAGCATAAGATTAAAACAACTAACTTGAATTTCCCTAAATAGCAAGTTAAGCAAATAATTTAGGTACATCCATATAGTCATAGAATGGAAATCAATGTGGATGTGAAAATAAAAGAGAATGAGTATGCTTTCAGTGTATTGATGAAGATCTTCAAGATGCATAAAATGAAGATAGAAAAATGTGAACAATATATATATATGTATCTATATAAGTATATATATATAAAAGTATAATATGCTACCTTTTCAGAAAGAGAACATAATTTATATTTATTTTTATTCATTTTTCTTTAATGAAAATCTTCAAAGGATAAGAAACAAATAAGAAAGGTTTTTGAACCATATGGATATATTACCTACCCAAATAATCACATTAAAAATAATGTCTCTTTCCACAATTAAAGCATAAAACACTTTCCCACACTATCCTGGCTCCCTGACCTCTAGTCCCAGGTACCACTGATTTAAATTTGCACTAAGATATGCATAACAACAGATCTGTTTGGAAAAGTAGTCTTCAAGAGGAGGAAATAAAAGCAGAGGGAGCACAGATGACAGTTCTGAAGAATTCTGGAAACCTGGGGCCAAGATAAACGAATTTCACACTTGAAGAAGATACGTTAGGGGGAAGAGGGGCTCCTTACCAACCTTATGATAAGGTAGCATCTTTAGAATGCATACATAATTTGCTGGACTATTAATCACAAAGATGCTATTTCTTCAGGGCCTTCCCACTGGCCACACGGCCATTAGTTAATCAGGAGGGGAGGCAGAGTTTTCTGGAAGTGAAATATTAATAAACCTGAGGTTTGTGGTTCCTTGAAATTTTCCCCTAGGTGTTTCATAAAAATTGGATTACTCTTAAAAGGTAAAGTAAATTTGTCTGGATTCTCTGGCAATTTACCAACATACTAAGCTTTCATTTGAAGAACTTTGATAGATAAATCTACTCAAAGGTTGGTGTTAGGCCAATACCTGTGGACTCAAAACAATGAACTATTGCTGCCCAGCCAGCCTTACCTCTACAGGAAACCGTGACCCATCTGAGCAAAAGAAGATTCTTCATATTGCCCACTTTATGCTGCTTGTAGTCTTGAAGACTCCTCGTTATCCTGGAAGATATTTGAAAGGAACAGCTCATAACCACAGACAACTCACCATGTTAAATGAGCAACTAAAAATGCTCATTCTCCCTAAGAGCTAAATTACCCCCTTTATTCACCCACAAAACTTTGCAGGTCACTGCGGGACATGTAATGAGAAAGGAAGTCGGAAACAGTAGGTAAGTGGAGAGTCTTTTAATCCATCTCCCCGGTACACCTAGGAAACCTTTGGAATGCAAATGGAAGCCCGCCATCGATAATCTGGAACAGAAATCAGCATCACAGAATACTAAGTCCCTGGTCTCAGCTACACAACCGGATGTTGCCGTCACCGCTGGTGTTCGTTCTGAAATTGCGCAGGTAATTTGGGCCATTTTCTTTCCAGCATAAATTCTTCCCTTGCAGTCAGTAGGACTTCAGGCCACTCCCATCTGCTTCTCCGCTCAACCTCCACCCCCACCTACCTGACCTTTCCCTTGGGCTTCTGGGGATGCAGTTGTTACTTCACAGAAGTAACCCTAACCCTCAGACCACAGAGAAGGAGCCACGGTAAATATGACCTGGTAAAGCCCTGGAGATCCAGCTCAGCCCCAGCCTCGGGATGCTTTGTCAGCTTTTGAAGCCTCCAGTCTGCGCTCGCTGCGTCTGCATAGCAGCCTCTTCCTCTGCATCCACCCACACTTTAATCATTAGTGCGAATCAGGAGAAACTGCTCACCCCTGGCACAGAGAGCGATTTTCTATATTTTTCAAAATTCATTTTATTGGTGCATTTTATACATACACATGATCACATTCATCAGTAGGGAATTTGTACCTGGGCATGATGCATCTTGATTCTTCTTCTTCCACCATTCCCCTCCCCTGCCTTCGGCCCCTCTTGCCTTCCTTATTTACAACAGCTTTGTTTCCATTTTTCCTTTTATTCACGTTTTCCCCTTTTCCCTTCCTTCTTTTCCCCCTGCCCCCTTCCTTGCTCCTCTTTCCATTTGAACATTTTCTTCCCATATCACAACACCTATTATACATTTTGGTCCTTATTTACCCTGTTGATTTCTCACACCAGAGAAACAATGTGACATTCAAACATGTGTCTAATTGATTTCGCTGAAGAGTATGGGCTCAAAGTGCATTCATTTACCTAGGTTATCCTTCTTTATGGCAGAGTAGTACTCCACTATATAAAAATCCCCACATCTTCTTTATTCATTCATCAGTTGATGGGTGTTTGGGTTGTTTCCAAGATTCAGCTAGTATAAACTGTGCTGCTATAAACATGGGTGTGTATATAGCACTGTGGTATGATGCTTTTATTTCAGAAAGCGATTGGCTTGGTATGATTATTATTATTTCCTAAGAGAAATTAGCTTGTGGCCTTGACAAAGGGACAGATGGGAGGAGGGACAGAGTTCTAGGTTGGTGAGTTCTCTCCTCCCTGTGTTCCAGAGATGGGTGCCCCTCTCAAGCCATCTCCAGGCAGTACTCTCAGGCAGGTTAAAGAAGTTTCTTTTTATTGCTGCTAGCCAATGTAGAGCTTCAGAGCTTCCCTTTTAATCTCTCTGGTAGGACTGAATCTCTCATGCCAGTTTTCCTATTTATCTATAAGGTAGTTGTTAATGGTAGGGATTATTTGACATTGCTTCAAAAATGAAAATCTTTTTCTTGGCAGATCATTCTTATCTCTTAATGTCTACTAGGAGAAGAAAGGAAAGTTAAAATACCTTGCATTAACTACTTACCAGTCGAATTATTTAAATATAGGATGGCCAAAAATTGCTTTTTTTTTGTTAACTTGTATGAGATTATATAACAAGAAATATAAAAATGACAATTTTATCCAATTTATTCAATGAAAGAATTGACTCACTGAAACAACACCTGCCCAAGCATCATTCACGATAGTCAGTCCATAAACCAACAGTGCTCAACTGACGCTCAGGGTAAACTGTGAAGTGGTTAATTTCAGGGTACCTCAGCTGCTCCTGTGGTTCTTGGTTTTATCAGTAAACTAGTGAAACTTGCTGGGGCTCAGAAAAAGACACCCCGAAGTAAGCTGAGTGCTTCACCCTCCGGGACACAGGAGAGCTTCCGAAGCCAAGTCTCTCTCCGATCTCCTCTTCTGCCTCCCAGCCATCTTTCCCCTAAAGCAACTTACAGAAGCAAAAATTCTTCTTCTGCATGAGTCATAAAACTTAGAAACATTACCCTGACTCTTTCCTGTCTCTCTGTGGAGGAGGTGGCCATGAGGAAATTCTCTGACCTACCTTGTCTGATAGTGGATCATAAATCGCTCATTCCAGAAGCGGCCCGGCCCTATGCCAAGGAGAAAGGAATGTGACACAGAAATGCCAAGGAGATTCCAAGCACACAGCCTTCCTGGATTTCTCCTCTCAACCTCCTACCATTAGATCAGAGCCTTTTGTCCAGTTACAGTTCTACACAAGTGTTTATTCTTCATCAAATCTAAACACAAGAGAGAACGTTTTTCCTGGATCTCTGGGTTTTCGTGTTTTAAGTCTTTTGAGCCATGCAAATCTTCTATTCAGTACATTTGTTATGCTTTTTTCTTATTAACCTTCATTTTCTTGAAGGAAATCTAACTATAACACTTACGATTATGAAGAAAGGTCCCACATCTTCCCACCCATACACCACCAAAGTAGGTTTCTGAAAATGTGTTAGTCAGACCAAGGCAACATAATCCCAGAATTCTGGCAGGCTGAAGCAGGAGGACTGCACATTTGAACTCAGGATGGGCTGCTCAGCAGTTTAGTGAGAGCCTGTTTCAATATTTTTTTTTTAAAAAAAAAAACGGTCAAGAATGCAGCTTCCACAGAGCCCCTGGCTTCAAATCTTGGTACAATTTATTTTTAATTTGTTTTGCAGGAAATTATGGCAAATTCATGAACTAGATTAGCAGTGGCAAACCTATGGCAGGAGGGGCACCCCGGACACGCAGAGCCCTCTCTGTCAGCATGCAAGCCAAGTGGTCCCAGCGTTTCCCCAGCACCAAGCATCAGAGCACGTAGGAGCAGTGTTGGCACCTTGTGATAAAATAAGGAGGTTTGAGGTTGCAATTTGGACACTGGATCTCTGAAAGGTTCCCCATCACTGAAGGGAAAGTGAGCTCTGCGTTGCAGAGAGCGTCCATTCATTCCGCAGGTTATGAATGAGAATCTGGGGTGGTGGGAACTCTTCTGGGCTCTCTGGGACTTTCCACCTGGCAAGGAAGACTGACAGTAAAACATCAAATACCTTTAGGCCTAGGAGATTTTGTTTGTTCTAACTGCTACTTACCAGTTTGCAGGATGAAAGGACAAGCTCTATGCACCCTGTAAACCTCCGGGCTGACACTCACTGCCTACTCATCACCCTGCCAGGATCTTCAGCTCTCTGTTCCCATCATCCGCTTTCCAAGACTCAGTTGTGTTTGTTCTCAAACCCGCGGATGGAATTTGTATAATTTATTGTAATTAAATACCTCAGAGGCATATTACACAAATCTATGGAATTTCAGTGTAAACAGAGTTTTTCTATGGCAGTTATCTGTTAGTTAAGACAAGCTATTCTAGGGACTGGGGATTTAGCTCAGCGGCAAAGCGCCTGCCTGGCAAGCGCAAGGTCGTGAGTTCGGTTCCCGGTACAGGAGAAAAACCAAAAAAAAAAAAAAAGACAAGCTACTCTAGAGCCCATTAAGCACAGTATGGGCCAGGTAACTTTAAAAGACTGGCAGAAAAACATGAAATATAAAGCACTCTGTTCTCAGATTACCTCCTTGATGTGTTGTAGATCCTTTTCCTTACCAAAGAATAAATCTGGAAACTGTAACATTTTGTTGTAGATAATGAGAAGGATAACAGAGGATTTCATCAGTGGACCCCAAACTCAAACAGAGAATCTGGTTCTACATCTTGAGATTAGAAAACAGATGGATAATTATGTTTCAAAATCAAATGTTTAAATGGATTTTTTTATGACTAATTCTTTAAAAGAACTGATTTACCAACTGCCGGTCCTAGGCTATTCATTTAAAATTTTCCCTCTTGTCCTATGTGTCTGTGGGTTCAGCTGCCTATGGTTCTCCTCTGATTGCTCCATCTAGAGAACACCAGATACTCTCTGATTGGGGGAATGTGTGTGTGCACATTTATAAACTACAAGTGAACAAGATCAGGATTGCTCGCTATTTTATGTTTGGCGCATGTAAACCCTTTGAAATGCTTTTCTTTAAGTTTCTACCATGTGCACAATTAATATGCTGTGTGTCCATGGGACGTGATGCAGCGTGACAGGAAAGAGATTCCAGAACTCGATGCACTTCGAAATTGCTCTCAAGGACAAACCCTTGAGCAAATTTTATAATATTTTCCAGAATAGGCAGGGAATGCTCTATGCTACTGTACCAAGTACTGCAATCGCTAAAATCACTAAACGTTAATTTTTGGTGATGAAAGATATAAATGAAAACATGTAATTTACTAATTTTTATTAGTACCTAATAAAGATCTTCCAAAAACATCAATATCATGCTGAGTACAGCTGGTGGTTATTTAATTACAGTTGCAGTACTGGCTCCGGAGGAAATGTATGCTGTGGAAGGAGTCTCAAATAAGGGGGATTGTTTACGGCCATACCACCCTGAATGTGCCCAATCTCTTCAAGTAAAGGGGATTGTGCTGGCCAGGATGTTCCTAGAAGTCTTGCCTGAGGGGAACTGTAAAGTTATGCCTTCAAGGATGCCAGCCAGGCCAAGGTGGGAAGGAGGAGAATTGCAGAAAGGCAGCTCAGGTAAAGAGAATAGCATGTGCCACAGTCCTGAGGTTGAAAGAAATGGGCTCTTTAAACAGACTGGACAGTACAGGCAAAAGGAGAATACTGGAGAAGTGAGACAGTGAGATGGAAGAGAAGAAATAGCACATTTACAAGAGGCTAGTCCAAGGGTAATCACAGAGATGCAGAAGCAGGAAGCAAAATCTGCTCTTTGGTTTATATAAGATGTGACCAAGTTCACTGCCAACTACCCTGGAACTCAGGCAATCAAAACAATCCAAGACCAGATAAGCTTCTCCCTCTCTTTTGTCAAAGAAGAACCCAGTTCAGCCTATGTTCTGAATTTCCAGATAATTACATTAAATCGGCACTTCAAGGGTATGGTTGCCTCATCCCTGGATTCAACCAGGAAGTATCAAAAATTTTAAAATAGGGGCTGGGGATTTAGCTCAGCGGCAAAAGCGCCTGCCTGGCAAGCACAAGGTGGTGAGTTCAGTTCCCGGTACTGGAGAAAAACTAAAACTAAAAAAAAAAAACAAAAATTTTAAAGTAAAAAATCAAGGAAAACCAACAATGCAACAACAAAAAGAATACCGTGTTTTAAAATACTGTAATGTAGCAGCAGTTAATATCGCCTTGGGTATTGCATGTAAATCTCGCGATGGTTTAAAGTACACAGCAGGGTGTGCGTAGTTATATGAAAAGGATGCTATTTTATACATGGGCCTAGGGGCTGGGGATTTAGCTCAGCGGCAAAAGCGCCTGCCTGGCAAGCGCAAGGTCGTGAGTTCAGTTCCCGGTACCGGAGAAAAACAAACAAAACAAACAAACAAACAAAAAAAAAACAAAAAAAAAATACATGGGCCTTGAGCACCTGCCTCTGCAGGTTTGATATTCATGGGGATCCTGAAGCCAGTCTTGCACAGATGCTGGGGATGACCATATACACCATCCAGTGGCACTGCCATGAGAGTGGCAGTGCCACTCCTGTTTCCACGTAATAACTAGACTCTCCCACCCACACTACTCAAGCCATTCTTTTCAGTTACTGTAGGGACGCTCTCCGCGTTGCACAGCTCCTGCCTTCCATCAAGAAATCCCCCAATTCGAGAACAACAGTCTCTTTAATAAATGGTGCTGGAAAAACTGGCTTGCTACCTGCCAAAGACTGAAAATAGACCCAAGCCTATCACCAT